TGGGGAGGGCAGGATGGTCAAGGCTGAGGGAACAGCTTGGTTGGGAGCGAGGGGGGCTGGGGGTAGAAGGCAGAGATGCGGGGGGGACGGGGTGGAGAGGGGTCTGGGCGCCTGTGGGCAGGGAAGGCTGTGCTTTGATTCAGGGCTCTACCGTGGATGGGGCAGTCACAGGACAGTTTTAAGCAGAGCAATGTGACCTGATCTGTTTTGGAAAGAGCCCTCGGGGCCTCTGGGTGGAGAGCAGATCGGGGAGGTGGTGGAGGCCCGGGATCCCGGCTAGGAGGCCACCGTGGCGGTCCAGAGGCCCGGGAAGCTGCCACCAGCAGCTCTCAGAGCCGGCTTGGAGCCCGCAGACTTCCGCGTGGCATGGGTCCCAGTATAGAGAAATGCCAAACCTGAGTTACAGCCAGTGACTGGAGGTCTGGCCTCCTCGGAAAGTCTGAACTGGAGGCTCTTCACGCATGTGAGACCCTGGCAGCAGGGCTCTGCGGAGGTGGACCCCTACCCCGCCCTCCCCACCCCTACCTGTGATTGGGCCTGGATCAGGTGGGGGTGGGGAGGGTGGCAGAGTGAACTGAATCAAAAACTACGGGGTAGGAGGCAGGAGGAGGCTTGGTGAGGGATGGCCGCTGTGGGGTTACTTGTCGTTCCCACCCCCCCCACCCCCAACACCGCTGTACTCCCCAGTCCCCCGAAAGGCGTCCTGCCCTCGAGGAAGCCTTTTCTCCTTGTCCCGCTCTTGCTCCAGACAAATCCTTTCCGAGTTGAGCGCCCCGCAGCCCATGTCCTGTGTCCCCTGAGAGGTCGAACAGCCCTGCTTTCAAAGGCGCTTTGCTGCCGGGCCACGTGCTGCCCTGAGTCTGAACTGTGATGTGTGCACTGTCATTTGGGGGTGGGGTGACTGGCACCGAAAGCCGCCTCGGGCCAGTGAGGCCCTTCCGAGCTGCTGCTTCCTGGGTCTGATCCCAAGTCCCCTGCTAAGCCTGGGTCAGCGGACGCTGCCCGGAGGCCACCAGGGAAGGTGGCCTGTCCCTACCTGCCGCTCAGCCTGAATCCCGACGGGGTTGCCTGGCCCCACCTTGCCCTGGCTTCACTAATTATTCGTAGTGTAACTTGGGGCAAACATGAGATAATGATAGTACTCATTCATAGGGTTGTTGTACAGATGGAATTGCGTAAAGGGTTCGGTCCAAAGTAAGTGCTCAATAACCGTTAGCTACTGGTATTAACGGGACTAAATTTGGAATCTCCTGATGGGGTGACTGGGAAAGAGAAGCTCTTTTTTCACCGGCATTGAGATGCTGGACGAATCTTGCCACCATGAGGGAGGGCCTGCCCGATAATGCATCCAGCAAAATGGAACACAGTGCTCAGAGGGAAGAAGAACTTAATTCTGATGGTAGCACTCAGGTCCCTTGATCCAGCTGTTCCTGAAGACCTAGCCCTGGACCATTCAGGCATAACCAGATCTTTGTTTTTTCCTTCCTTTTTTGCTTAAGGTACTCTCTGTGGGGTTTTTGTTATTTGTAACAAAGAGTCTTAATGGGTATCCATCCATCCATCCATCCATCCATCTAGAAGTCCTAGCTGTGCGGGGTTGACACATCACTTTCCTAAGACTCAGTCTCTGCATCTGTAAAATGGGAGTTTCATCACCTACCTTATGGGCAGTTTCAAGGATTAATGGGCAACCCATGCAGAGTATCATTCTCAGTACCCAAGGCAGAGGAGGGCTCAGTAAATTTCCCTCCGATCCCCTTTTCCGTCTAAATCCTGCCCCACCCCTGCACAGGTGGGTCTGGAGAGCCAAGGCAGGATCCACACCCCAGCAGGTCCGCAGCCTCCGGAGCAGTAGAATCTGATTGGTACAGCCTTTATTGTTTCTCCAGCATTTTCCAGAAGAATGATGTCGTTTGAGGGCCGCAGGGGGTGGGGGGAGTAAAAAATAACATAAACACACTGAACAGAAACGCAGGAGGGCAGCTCGAGGGGCTGAGATTGGGTGTTTGGGGCAGAGAGGGGGAAGGCCTGGGGTAGTCACAGCCTCTTAGCTTTCGGCCACCAGAGAGAAGAATTCTGCAAAAGAAGAGGAAAGAGAGGTGAGTCAGAGGGGGACGGTGTGGAAGGACTCGCCATGGCCTGACCGCCGGGCCCTGCACGGTGCTTCCTCCTGGCTGTCCCCTCTGCTGCAGGCCTGGAGTGATGGAACCAGTGAGTGTGGGCACGAATGAATGAATGAATGAAGTCAATGAGAAACGGCGAGCCTATCATCATCTCTCTTTTGTTTTGCTTAGAAAAAAGTTTTACTTCCAGTGTCGTTGCCGTACGGTGTAGGTCTATTCGTTTCAGGGGGCACAATCAAGTGATTCAACACTTTCGTGTAGTACTCAGTGCTCATCCGGGTCAGTATACTCTTTTTCTTTTAACGTTTTTTTAATGTTTATTTTGTTTTTGAGACAGAGAGACAGAGCACGAGTGGGGGAGAGGCAGAGAGAGAGGGAGACACAGACTCCGAAGCAGGCTCCAGGTTTCCGAGCCATCAGCACAGACCCCGATGCGGGGCTCGAACCCACGAACTACGAGACCGTGACCTGAGCTGAAGTCTGGGGCTTAACCGACTGAGCCACCCAGGCGCCCCTTTGCTAGAGATATTCTTTGGCTGCAAATCTTCTCCTCCCCAGCAGTGAGGTGGTCAAGGAAAGAAGGTGAGGCAGGGAAAAAAAAACAAAACAAAAACACCCTCTCGACCTGCTACGTCTTTATCAGCCTTTTGTATTTCTTCCGTAAGTTTTCTGCTCATCTATACTCTCTCTCAAAAAAAAAAAAAAAGAAAAAAAAGAAAAGAAAAAAAAGTAAAAGGCGATTCCAGTGAGCAACCTGATTCAAGAGCCATTGTGTGTTTTTCCTCCTCGGGGGGCTCAACAACACCATGGAGGAGACTGGAGGAGGTGACATCTCCGTGCCGCTGAGACATCTCTGTGCCGCTGAGACGGATGAGTGCGTACAGGTGCTCAGAATGAGCTGGGCCCTGTCTCCCACAGCTCCTTTAACTGACCATCACGCAGGAAACTGGGAGTGATTCCCATTTTACAGAAGGGGAAACTGAGGCCCAGAGAGACGTGGCTTTTCAGAGCCTCCAGGGTTGTAAGGGGCTGAGCTGGGGCTTAAGACCAGGGATCCAGCTCCCTCCACGTGCCTTGTGTTCGAGTCCACGGTGAGGTCACGTGCCCTCGCGCCCAGGAACATCCACCTGCCCAGCTTCACTGAACACTAAGTAATGATGTCAGACATTGGTGTCAGCACTGGGAGGAGATCCAGTGTCCCCCACTGAATCCATCCCCACCTAAATAAACAAAGGGGTGTCTCCGACCAGGTGAGGGGAGGCACAGGGGAGTCAGAGATGATTCTTGCCCTGAAGGAGCTTCTGGTCTGGTCAGGGGAGAAACAGTACCTGGCAGGACATGCTCCATGCCGCTGGCCTCTTTTCTGAATCTCAAGCTCGCTGGGGGCATTCCCACCGCAGGACCTTTGCACCTGCCGTTCTCTCTGCCCGGTGGGCGCTCAGACTTCCTCACGGCTGTGTTCCCAACTCAGCCGTCCCTCCTCCTGGGGCCTTCTCTGGCCATTCTGGTGACGGTGGCGACCCTCCCCTACCGTGATCCTCTTTGCCATCACCATTTCTTGCCCTGCGCACAGCGCTTACCACTCTTGAAACACTTTGGAATACGTTCCTGCTTAGTCCCTTGTGATCTGCCTCTCCCACTGGGACAGAAAGCTCCAGGGCCCGCCCACCTTGTTTCCTGCCTCACCCACCACCCGCCTCTGAGCCTGACCCTGAGAGGCCGCACTGTTTGTGGACAGTTTGCCAATGGATGGCGGGCCCAGAGACTTCGCTGTCACAGGGAGAAGAGGTGCCTTCTGTTTAAGGCGTCAGCAAAACTTCAGAGGGCAGGTGGCTTCTGATAGAGTCCTGCGAGAAGATGTGGGGTTCCCACAGGAGAAAGCAGCCGGCGGGGAAGGGATCAACAGGCGGGGGCCTTTGGCGGGCAGGGGCTCAGAAGGCAGGAAACAATGGGCTGGATTTGGGGAACGCCCAGTAGCCATTTCTGGGCTGGCACCCCCCAAATCTGGCTCTGCCGCTTATGGGCTGTGTGACCTCAGACAAAGCGCTTGGCCTCTCTGAGCCTCCCTGTCATCATCCCTAAAAGGAAGAGAAGTCAGCGCGCTTCTTGAGTTGGGAGACGGCGAGAAGGGCCAGCAAATCTCTGCCCCTCACCCCCAGGAGCTCCCCTGCCCCTGGTTCTCCATGCCCCTCACCTGGGGCGTCCTGGCTGCGGCAGTCCTAGGGGCTACTACCCCGCGGCCAGGTCTTCTGAGACCTTTATTTGGAATAAAGGAGGGCCCAGGGGATGTCTGCCCGGTTGTTTTTTCTCTCCGGGAGACAAGAGAGGACAGGAAGGAGTTTGCCACCCTCTGCCACGAGACGTCTCTGAGATGCTGCGTCCCCAGCCGGCCAGCGTGTGGGGCCCCAGGGCCGTCCCCATTACGTCTAGAAAGGATTGAGAGTGAGGGTTCCAGGCCCAGCCTGGCGCGTTTGCTGGGAAACGTGCCTCTCTGGGTGTCGGTCCGGGTGTCGATCTGTCGGTGTGTGAAGGTAGGGGGACCCTAATGATTTCTTGTGAAAACATGGCTTCAGGGTATCAGAAGTACGTGGGGCTCCTCGGGGCGCGTCCCCCCCTCCCCAGACCTTGTACGAGGCACGTATGTCAACCCCCACCACGCAATCTCTTAGTTTGCATCCTGTGCCCCCACGGTCACGTGAAATGTCAGCCCTGGGGGACGCTGGGGGAGGGGTGTGTAGAACTCACCATGCTATCGTCAAAGCTCTTCTGTAAAGCCAGCATCATGTTCAGATAAAAAAGCGAAAAAACTGATCCCTGCCCCGTGGAGGGACACGTGCCTGGGCTCCTTGCCTTTCTGGGGTTTGAGCTGGGAAATGGACGCCACCCTCTCCTGTCCCCAGGCTCCCTCCCTGTCCCTGAGGACAGGGAAGGCAAGGGACCTGGGTGTGGGCGTCTAGGTATCGGCTGGAGGTGGGAGAGAGGGGGAGGGGGTCCTCTAACTGGTCCTGAAAACCCCCGGGGCTGCAGGCTGAGCGATGACAGTGAGTGGCCGGGATGGACCCGGAACACCAGGTACTCTAAAAATCCCTCCCGTGGGCGGGGACCAACGCGTCTGCTTCCTCAGCCAGGAGCTCCTGTGACCCTGTGACAGCACCTCGGCGAGACAGGTGGTGCTTGTCGTCAGTGCTGTGATCAGCATTGTCCGTTTTTATAGGATTTAAGAATTCTTGGGGCGCCTGGGTGGCTCAGTCGGTTAAGCGGCTGACTTCGGCTCGGGTCATGATCTTGCGGTCCGTGAGTTCGAGCCCCGCGTCGGGCTCCGTGCTGACAGCTCAGAGCCTGGAGCCTGTTTCAGATTCTGTGTCTCCCTCTCTCTGACCCTCCCCTGTTCATGCTCTGTCTCTCCCTGTCTCAAAAATAAATAAAACATTAAAAAAAAAAAAAAGAATTCTTATGCATGGAATGCAAAATGCAAAGCATCCTGTATATATTATGTCATTGGATTCTCACAACTACTCCATGGCAGGGATGCTTCTGTCTGCATTTTACAGATGGGGAAACGGAGGCCCCAGAGGTGATTAGCTTGGCCGAGATCACACAGCACACGTGAGTCAAGCTACTGCTTTTAGGCTCCTTTCTGAACCCCGGAGCTTTCCGACCTACTTTGACCTAGGCATAGAGTGACACAGGAGCCAGCTCAGATATCGCCACCCCGGTGACTCTGTCATATCAGCCCCTTTTTATTTACTTCCTGGTACTTAGCACTCTCCGAAATGAACTTATTTAGGTACTTACTTATTTTTGTCAGTCTCCCCCTACTAAAGTGTAAACTCCAGGCTTGTCCACCAGCCTCCTAGCACACAGTGTGCCCACCGGCCCACAGCAGGTGCTAATAAACAAATGCCAAATGGGTGGACTGATGGAGAGATGGACAGATGGAAGGATGGATGGATGGAAAGACGGAGGGATGGATGGATGGGTCACGAGTCCTCCTTAGGGTCCAACAACTTCTGACTTGCCTCATGTCTAGTTTTCACAACAGCCCTGGGAGCTGAGTGGGGTGATTCCCACTTTATAGACGGGGAACCGGAGGCCCGGAGAAGTGAAGTGTCAAGGCCATGCAGCAAATAAGAGGCAGAGGCAGGATTTGGCCTGTGGTCCCAGGAACACCCTCTCCATGAGTGTGGAGAGGCCATTCCTGCTTGGGCTAGCGTCCCAGATCGGGCAGAAGCAGGGACTCCCTCAACCTGCCATTTAATCTGGAAAGCTGGCCAGAGCCCATATATCCTGTCCTCGGGCACTAAGTTTGCTCTGCGCTAGACTAAAAGGAGACATGAGTCCGTCTGCCAATACCAGCTCATGGAGAGACTGTTCAAAGGGGAAGCTGGTCCTTAACAGTTTCCCGACCCCCACTGACCCCCCCGCTAACCCTCACCCTAGAAATCAAAGGGCGCCTGGGTGGCTCAGTTGGTCGAGCGTCTGACTTCGGCTC